GTAATATAAGATTTCGTAGGCTAAATGATAGTCTAATGACGTGTATGAGAAGTAGGTACACAAACATTGCATATGCGGCGGCAGCTTACGGGATCGGGAGGTCTGTTTGGGGAAGAAGATGTCTGCTGCATGACGCTTAAGGTACAAGGTACCACGTCATTACATTGTCTATATTGTTTTCGTCAGGTGTCACTACTAAGCTGTGTTGACTCATGTAGATCAGTGCAAATTACATAGACATGAAACGTCAGCACCAGAGAATAACCAGCCTTGATTATCCTCCGAAACAGATTCCATTTGGCAAGAAATGCAAAATGACTGTGAAACTTATATGAATAGATCCTCGGAAATCCGTGATGACACGTGCCGGTAGCACCCACCACTCACACTTGAATAAAACTGTGACTGGGAATAGATAGACTGAATCCTATTTATAGTGAGTGAGTTGGGTTTAACGCCGCTTTTAACAGTATTCCAGTTATATCGCGGCGTGTCAGCTTAATGTGGGAGGAAAGCCCGAAGTGATGCAGGTCTCCGACGTTTACCACTTCGGCGAAACCCACGAGCACGGGTATGGTGCTGATAAAACTAGAAATATAATCGGGGCGAACCGGGATTCGAACCCACAATCATAGGTTTCTATTTTACTGTCAAATATTGTGGACGCTACCTTTAGAGAAATATTTGGATAATCCTTTAATAAGGTAAGAATGTGAAACGCAATGTAATCGTTCAGTCCATATCTGACAAATGCACCTCTTAGTCCACATTTCGTCATGTCATCTACAAACTCATAAAGATATTTAATGCAAATAAACAGAACTCAACATACATCCTTGGTGTTATCCATATGATGTGAATATTTCAGTTTTCGAACTTCCGATCCTACCACAAGCTGACACCATACATATCTTTCAGAATTCTAAAAGAATTCCCATGTACACATTTCATAAGAAATACATACACCAGTTTATTTCTGTCAACAAAGTCAAATGCATAGAATCTGTGTTTTGGTTTACTCAAATACATTTGACATAAAGATTGAAGGACAAAGACATTATCAATTATAGCATAGTCATGTCTGAAGCCTACTTCATGTAGCCAAATCTTTATTCTAGATTCAAGGATAGATGTGAATATTTTTCCCATTTCAAGAAATACCACGGTAATCTTTGGGATCACCAACATCCCCCTTTATATACAATGGGATAATCATATTGACATTCCAGCTATCGGGAACAGAAACTGGGAGTGGCATGTGCGAATCGTATATTGCGCTGTTTTAATATTTACTTCATGCCATGTCCCTTTTGACTTCCCTGTTTTCATTTCAAAGGAAACCTTATTTCCGTTTACGAGATTGGGTTGAGGTCTGTTTGAGAAGGAAGTTATGTAATGCATTACATGTAAAGCAAACGGGCTCAATTAATTATACTGAAAGGATGTCCTGCTCTACTTGTAGCACTTAATTGCCTAACAGTACCTGTAAAGTGTTTTGTTCATGTGACATAACAGTCAACAGATGACTGAAAAATTGAAAGAACTGTTATTTGATCATGTCTATTTAACCACCACTCATGCCTGCAACAGTTTGTAAAAATTATTCTGTGGCTGGGCGATTATGCTTAAAAATATATTGGTTGATTGAAGACTGGGATAAGAAATGTATTTGCAACCAACCATATGACCTCCAGCATATTTGAAATGTTGTACATTTGTGCCGAAAAAAGCAAATTTATTGATTTTTCAAAGTTAAGATGTCTAATTAACCTATCAGCAGCTGCGCACTATGCGATTTCTTTTCAAATTTTTAAAGGTGTTTTGAAAAGTAAATTATTTAGAAGTATACTTTGAGTACTGACTAAGCATTGTTTATACATAATATCGATAACTGAAAATCAAACATATAAAATCAGCTTAGAGGTATAGTTTCGTTTCCCCTTAATTTGGTAACACTGCCAAAGATGTAGAGCCTTGCAACAAAAATATACGTACCACTATACTCCCCTTAGACTAAAATCTAGTCTCTGAAATGAACATGTCGTACATAAAAAAACAGTTGTTTAGTTATCTTAATAAAAATATAATAAAAAGGAGCCCAGTGACTCTCTTCATTTTCAGATACTGCAGTGATCTAGACTTGCCAAACATTATAGACTTGCATGGGCTGTATTTGATATATATTTGTATCAGGGTCTGTAAGACTATACTCCCCTGCACACAAGGCAAAACACTGTCATGGCAAGAGCGATATATGTTCGGTGAAGCTGTGTCAAAAACGCCTTTGAAACACATGCTTTCCTTGTGAAAAGTGGCCTGTTCTATACCACGAATAAAGATGTTTGTATTTATGTCAAAACACTTGGACATGCGTGGCAATAGTTGTCTGTAATTTTTAATGGCCTGTCCATGTGCCAACTACTTTGCAATTTCAACAAGAACTTCTGTACAGCTGGACTTAACACAAAGCAGAACACTCGGTCTTCTCACGACTTCACCGGGAGACAGGGCGATAGTCGTTTAGTTGTTGCGAATTTATCTCTAACTGCTACTGGCCTTAGAGTATTTTATAAAAACGTCATGTCAATGGTGATGTCTGATAATTACGTCAGTCAACTGCCCTGTTTCAAGAAGACGTTCAGCTCCTGACCCAGATCGGTTTTGTCAAAATGTGCAATCGCAATTCTAATATCTTTCCTGTCAGACTGTTTATCGCACTAGTCACGTGCATTTCCGCACAACAAGGACATTTTTCTTCCTGTTGCAAATGTTATCAACAAATTCGTCATTATTATACATGCACTCATACATTTACACACTAATGTAGAAAGGTGCACGTGTAGTCCAGTGTTGACGGGTCACACGTAGGTATAAATAAGTCCGGGTTTGAAGGGTGCATGATTGCGTAAATACACGCACGTGTAGAAGGATACCACTGTGGAAGGATCACATGTAGGTTTGTTCTTTTGTTGTTTAACGCTACACTAAGCAATATTCCAGCTATATGACAGCGGTCTGTAAATACTGGACCAGACAATCAAGTGATTGATATCATGAGCATCGATCCATGCAATTGGTATCGAGGACATGCTTCAACCAAGTCAGCGAGCCTGACCACCCGATCCCGTTAGTCGCCTCGTACATGAAGGTATAAATAAGTCCGGTTTTGAAGGGTGCATGATTGCGTTAATACACGCACGTGTACAAGGATACCGGTGTGGGAGGGTCACATGTACGTATATACAAACGAGCGTGGAAGGGTCAGACGTACGTATCTAAACACCCAGGCTTGTCATTGGCTGATACAGCGGGAACCCTCATATTGGGTCTGTGTATAGTCTGGGGCCCTCGTATTGGGTCTGTGTATAGTCTGGGGCACTCTAACCGCGTTTTCATATCTCTCCCTTCCCGTACTTCACGTAAACATTTATGAACGCTGTGTTTTGTTTCACTAATTTTCCAAGCAGCTGTGTTTAGGCACTGATACAAGCCTCCCTGTTGAGCCAGGTTTAGTTATCAACGGCGTCAGCGGATCTGTGGCGTATTGTCTGGGATAGCGTTTTGTGATGGTTTGCGTATTGTGTTGATTAGCGTATTGGGATTAGCTTATTGCTATGTTTAGTGTATTGTGATGGTTAGCGTCTTGTTATGGTTAGAGCATTGTGATGGTTAGCCTATTGTGATGGTTAACGTATTGTGTTGCTTAGCGTATTGTGATTAGCGTATTGTGTTGGTTAGCGTATTGTGTTGGTTGGTGTATTGTGATGGTGATCGTTTTGTGATGGTGAGCGTATTGTGTTGGTTAGCGTATTGGGATTAGCGTATTGTAATGGTTAGCGAATTGTATTGGTCAGCATATTGTGTTGGTTAGCGTATTGTGATGGTCAGAGTATTGTGATTGTTAGCGTATTGTGATGATCAGCGTATTGTGTCGGTAAGAGTATTGTGATGGTAAGCGTATTGTGATAGTCAGCGTATTATGTTGGTTAGCGAATTGTGTTGGTTAGCGCAATGACAGGGATAACGTCCTCAGTATCCGCGAGACAGGGACACGACCACTAACTTTGACACTCACTGAAATCCCAGTTGTAAACTGTGGAGACAAATTGATCCGATGAAAGGATGAACTTTGGGTTTAATTTCAAATTTGAAGTTCTTTGTTCGCATAATAAATTAAAAGAATTATATGATACAGAATTTCAAGACTCATGTCCTTTATATCAAATAATTATGACACTGTATTCTTTGATTGGCATAGTAGAAGTTGCGTATTGTAGAAAGATACAGTTGTCTTGAGACATCAAGATTAATTAACTGAGAACATTGCAACGATTCAATAGTCGAACCGTTACGAAACATACGGATACATGCTCTAGTATCTGGTCTGAACAGCAACATTATTAATATATATGTTATCATCCATCCGAACGCTAGTTATCATAACGTCAGTCGATAAACATAGCAACTCATACCACATTGGCATGTTTCTTTAGAAAGTAAGAGACTTGTGAAACCACTTCATCTGTTTCATATTTAGACCTTGTGTGACAAGAGTGGTGACTTTGATTTCAACTTTCCAAAAGCCAAATTACCCTTTATGTCGAGCGATGTACCAGCAAGTCTAGCCTTTGATGTGCGAAGCAATTCCCTATTTTGACTTGTTCTATTGTTTTAAGGTGAACAAATGACGTGTCTTGCCAGGATACGCTCACCTCTTCGCGAACACCTGGTGTCATCACTATTTGATGGTCATTGACAAACACATGCTTAGTCGGAATCGTACAGTGGGAGATGTCTAACGATTATGGTTAGGTTTTATAGCTTTTATTACCCTATAAACTCAATGTCCCTACACCCCTCTTCTCCCTCCCAACACACACACACACACTCACTCACCTATACACATCTCCGTCCCGAGGTCGTTGCAGCCGACAGTCAACTCCACCGCGCCCACCACCAGTATATATAGAGAATATATATTCTCCGGTCCTCTGTTGCAGGTTTATGTCGCAGCCTGCTGAAGGAGATCAGAAGCGACCAGGTCATTAATGGGACGACACCGGAAGTTACGGAATGGTGGCAAGCAGCGGCTCTCATCTACTGGTAATCAAACGAACCGATATTATCATTTAAACGTTGTCACATAAGCTGCTATTATATCATTTTATGTATAAATTATATGAACTGTTCTTACATTGTCATTAAATGTAACCACATGAAGATTTACTAACATTATCAAATGTATTTACTTTCATTGCGGGCGGTCGGGTAGCCTTAGTGGTTAAAGCGTTCGCTCGTCACGCCGAAGACCCGGGATTCCCGACATGGTTACAATGTGGGAAACCCATTTCTGTTGTCCCCCACCGTTATATTGCTGGAATATTGCTAAAAGCGGCGTAAAACAATACTCACTCACTCACTACTTTCATTGCTGGCATAATCATCAATGGTGAAAGGGGAACTATATCTTGGCGAAACTAGTAAATATTCGTATAGGACAAAGAGTACAAGTACATAGTTCCTAAAACATAAAGTGTTAGTGGGACATAGTTGGAGTTACTGTGAGATTGCAGGGGTCAGTAGGTGCAGTAGTTAGTGGGATATAGCAAGAGTTATCGGGAGTTCGAATTTGGTTACCCACTTTCAAATGCTTTCAGGAGTAAACAGGTGTTTTCTGAACACACATGGACTAGTCGATATGCATGCAACTGGAATATTGTCTCGCTCTTGGTATCATTACACATATATCGTGTTGACTTTCGTGAGAAGTTATTGAATTTCGGATGTCCATCACTCTGAATACATATCCCGACGGGCGTGAATGACGTAGTGAGTGAGTAAAAACTATTCTTCGCATCAGCACTGACATGTGTGCAAACATGCCGACTGTTGTCAGATGGCATACTCATATTCGACCAATATGTGCATTATCGCATGTCATGGATGCGCTTGCATAATCATCGATATTCATAGATCGTGCCAGGAGAGTTATTATATTTGAGTCAAATATAGTGAAATATAGTTCATCAATATATTTGGGGATATTTTTTGTAGTGAAGACTGAACAGTTGTATACCAAATGTTGCATGAGCCCTGTTATTGTTCAGTATATAAGGAAGGGGCGGTCGGGAAGCCCAGTGGTTAAAGCGTTGCTCGTCACGCCGAAGACCAGGGTTCGATTCCCGACATGGGTACAATGTGTTAAACCCATTTTCCGGTGTCCCTCACCGTGATATTGCTAGAATATTGCTAAAAGCGGCGTAAAACCATACTCACTCACCCACTCAGTATATAAGGAAACATGGCACCATATAGGGGTGGGCGCTGTATCCATGGGGTGGATCTGAAAGGCCTGATCCCATACTCATAAAGATGTTTCAATCAACAATAAGCTATGTATTTATGATGACGTACTCGCTTGGCGCCATCTTGGGCGGCGGACCGCCTCCGTGGTCTAGTGGTAGAGCCTCCGCCCGGAGAGCGGAAGGTCCGGGGTTCGATCCCCGACCGCGTGATAACAAAAGACGTTAAAAGATGGTACTTGTTGTTACCCTGTCTGGCGCTCGGCATTAAGGGGCTAAAACAAGGACTGGTCGGCTCGGAGTCAGTATACTGTGTCTGAGTTGGGTATTCATGTTAAACTGCGGCATGGTATCTCAGTGAGCTAGCACTATAAATTGGCATAAGTCCGGACTAGTACAAGCAGCCACACAAACACACACACGTACATGCACGTCGCTATATAAGTGCAATAATCTTGGACGCGACGTTAAACCCCATTTTACCTCACCTCACCTCTTGGGCGTCATACCTATGGTGACCTTCTACCTCAAGTTCCTGTCGGGGTTGGACATATATACACTGTGATGTCTAGCATCTTAATGTCTTTTTCATACACCAGAGTTGCTCCTTAACAATAGGGTGTATGTTATCATGATAGTTAGGTATCTAAGAGTTGATTTCAATATTAATGGGGTCTATGAAGGAATAAACGTTAAAACCGATTTGCACACTGTAAAACTCCGCATGGTGTGCACACCGGAATGTACTACTTCAATAAATGCAAAACAAATAATGAAGTCAATTCTTATAAAGAAATAATCAAACAGTAATGCTTCAAAGCTGATTTAATCTGTGATACAAAACTGAATGTGGTCAACGATGAGAACTCAGTGACATCGTTCAGCGTAATAATAACAACACAAGCCCCGCCCACTGTATTATTAGCCAATCAGTAAACAGTATTTCGCTAGCGGGCGTAACCGAATTTGTTTCGGTTAATGGAACACAAGCATAAGGAATTATGCAAATGCCAAGGAATCAATTGCAATAAATTTATGATCATTTAAACATTTTTCACGATGCTGAAAGATATGGGAGAATGTTTGTTTGTCGAGTCTGGACAAGACAATCCAGTAATTGATGTCATGAGCATCGATCCACGAATTTGGGGTACGATGACATGCATCAACCAAATAAGCGAGCCTGACCACCCGATCCCGTTAGTCGCCGCTTACGACAAGCATAGTCGCTTTTTACGGCAAGCATGGGTTGCAGAAGACCTATTCTACCACGGATCTTCACGGGTAATATGGGAGAATGAACTTTCAGCAGACAACTATAACAGATTACATACCCTCAACCTGAATCACAGTATCATTGGTACTGATAACACTGTGATGACACGTAATTTGAATGACGTCAACAAACATCATGACGTCACGAAATGGTGTTTAACAAACCGCTTGGTTGAGAAATTTGAAATAATAGCCAATCCTTTCGTGGAGTATAAATGAACGTGTCTGTATTTTCGCTTGCGGCGTGTAAATCCACCTGTCTGAAATGTCACCGCCTTCACCCTGCAACACATGGTGTCTGGTATGTGAGTGGAATTATGCACAATGTATGTTTTGTTCATGAAATGCAGCGTTAATAATCTGACACATATTTATGTTTTACTTTTTTTCGCAGGAGTTTCGTGTCCCCAGTAGAGTATTCCTGTAAGAATATGATATCGGTGGGGAATTGGCATTTGTGCCAAGATGATCCCTATGCTGTGAAACCGCCATGCCTTGTTTATTCATTTGGGTGAGTATATTGAAACAGCTGACACAGCATGTAGATAAACATTGGTTTTATATCCCAAAGTTGTGTACAATGAAATGTTGCTTGTCAAATTCAAGTAGTGAGTCTGGTGGTTTAGTGTTCGCTCGTCACGCCAAAGGCCCGGGTTCGATTCCCCGCATGGTACAATGCGTGAAGCCCATTTCTGCTGTACCTCGCCTTCATATTGCTGGAATATTGCTTAACAAAAGAGTAAAACCATACTGACTCACTCACTCACTCTTCTGACCCAGTGTCCCCAAAGGGCCACAGGCGATAAACCTACATAGCTTATCATTAAGAGGTTTCGAAATCTTTATTCTGGACAGGTGTCATATAACGCCTCAAGTAACCACTGACGCCCTTGCCAATAGGACAAAAGCCGGTTAATGTTATCATGAACGTAAGATATTATATACGCACTGTTTTGTCACTGTCAAAATGTTGATAAACGCGTTCGTAACAAAGGCATTCCTTGTTCGTCTTGACGAGGAAAACCCGATACGTTGCCAAGGTTCTTTGCATCTGATATCGACTCCCTCACGAGCACCGAGGGGACACTACCATTGCTCAAAGGCTGTACTGAAAGAAAAGTCCATGGATGTGTAGTAATTCTATCCTCCTAATAGTCAAGTCTAGATATGTGGAAGGACTATAGTCTCTTATAGGGACAACTTGCGATTATTTACATAATATAGAACTTATGATTTAAAATAATAAGTAATGCCTTAGAGACTGGTGCAAGTCTAAGGGGAAGGGTGTAGTGGGCAGGAACCGACCACCGTGTAAACACGTGTCTGATTAGGTGATGAATGTGTGATATCTGGGCAAGACTGAAGATCGCGTAGGTTTGTTTGTTTGTTCGTTTGTTTGCCGGAGTTACTCAGGTTGTTTTGAAGATCATTACCTCATTGCCGTCTGATTTTCAATAGCCTGTTCATGTTTTTTTCCCAGTTTTTGCCTTTTACGCCCAATAGAATCTGTTTCGCCAGACCGGACTGGTTATTCTTTGGCGCTGACATTTTCTATTTCTGAAAGACGAATGCCTCCTTCCTAGAGACCTCAGCCCACTTACTGTAGATCATACCATCCTCATCATAGAACATTACCACAATGGTATAAAATAATCCTTTTACGTTTTGAAACATTACACTTATAGTATAAAACATATAGATACAGATATATTTATTGCAAGAAACATTCCATTACAGAAAAGAGGCAATGTTGCAGACATACACATATTCAATTGACTGACTGAGTATGGTTTTACGCCGCTTTTAGCAATATTCCAGCAATATCACGGCGGGGGACACCAGAAATGGGCTTCACACATTGTACCCATGTCGGGAATCGAACCCGGGTCTTCGGCGTGACGAGCGAACGCTTTAACCACTAGGCTACCCGACCGCCCCTCATATTCAATTGAAATAAACATACATGTCACATGTAGAGATTATTTACAGAAGTTAAAGAAACAAAATATAAAATGTATGTATATATAATATATATGTACATACATACATATACATATATATCTCGTGTCGGATACTTAATTTGGCACAGTATTGCCTGAAGTTGTACACATGGTGACAGATATCTTTTATGGTGTTGATTTCATTATTTGTTAAAATGTATAAGAACAATTCATTTTCGTCAATGTGCCTAATCTTTTTACAATCTTTCTCCAGCTCTTTATATAGAAGAAAGCTTGGATGATTATGTTTCGTATAGTGTAATATATATGGTGTTTTTCACCGTCACTTATGTCACAATTGGAACAAAGACGTTGATTTAAAGGTACTGGGGGTCTTGATATCTTTCATGATAGTATAAATCATACCTCTCGATGACTTGGAACATTTTCTACACATTGTAATAAAACAATGGAACGTGATCTACACATTATAAGAAACAATGGAACGTGACCTACACATTATAAAAAACAATGGAACGTGACCTACACATTATAAAAAAACAATGGAACGTGACCTACATATCATAATTAAACAATGGAACATAATCTACACATCATGAAAAACAATGGAATGTGATCTACACATTATAAAAAACAATGGAACGTGACCTACACATCATAACTAAACAATGGAACATAATCTACACATTATAAAAAACAATGGAACGTGATCTACACATCATAATTAAACAATGGAACATAATCACACATTATAAAAACAATGGAACGTGATCTACACATCATAATTAAACAATGGAACATAATCTACACATTATAAAAAACAATGGAACGTGACCTACACATCATAATTAAACAATGGAACGTGACCTACACATCATAATTAAACAATGGAACATAATCTACACATTATAAAACCAATGGAACGTGATCTACACATTATAATTCAACAATGGAACATAAACTATACATTATAATGCATCATCATATAATTTTGCCTCAGTTATATATACCATAAGCTCCATATTATAGATCGTTAGATCCATATAAAGGCCAGCTGCTTATTATACAACGTGTATATAGACGGAGGAATTAACTCTTGGGTTGAAGACGAAGAATAAGTTGAGTCCTAACTTCTTTAGTCGGTTATTCAAATACAATGACTATTTCGAGCGGTGATTCAGACTCTACTGGTACAAGTCAAGTCCAGCAAGCAGGCGTTCCCGACTTTCAACTTCACACCGGCTACAGCGTCTAGACTGACACGGACACCATGTCTCTGGGCTCACTCTCTATTCAACACAACATCCTTGTTCGAAGAGCCCAAGTTCTTTGTTGTAATAGTTAACCTTGATGAAAGCAGAACAAACTCTTAGAAGTCAGCTTTCTCATTTGTAAGAAGACGTGTGAATATAATAATCTATTTCCTGTTTTCATATTCATAACCATACACTTTGAATACACCAATCAGTACAGCGTAGTGGTAGAATTGAACATGTTTTCACACATCGCTGTTAAATGTATGCGGTTGCGTTGTGCAGAATGTTCTTTTCGTTATAGTTAGTCTTTTTCCATGCGATAGACTGCTGCCAACTTATGCCAGTGTGTGGCGCCCTGCTAACCATCTTGTGGCTCTTATCGGCAATTATGTAATAATCGTGTTGTTGGCCAAGAAGACTGACACATTTTGCTCAGCTGTAACTATTAAATTTGGTTCCATTTCAGAATTGCAAACGATTTCAGTTTTGACGATGCAATGGGAAAGATTGGCTGTGAAGTGCACTCCTTTGATCCGAGGTAAATTTTGTATTATTTCAGGTATTATATGAAATGTATTTAAATGAATATCTCAGCAGTGATTCAACAACAGCAGAGTGCGTCTTTGTTCTCTTTACCAGACAGAGAGACAGATAGTTTATCTAAATCTCCCCTTATGTACAGCAATAGTTGAACAGGTTATATGTACACAAGTTTTTCTTGCAGAATTATGGGAGACTGTGGTATATACAGTACCTTTAGTCACATGCAAGTAACAATATAAATATGTTTAAATTATGTACGGATATAAATCACCAAATATAAGGCACAGGACACATCAAATTCCATTAATAGTACAATAGCGCCTGACAGCGAGATGGAATATAATATAGGGTTTTGGCAACCTTAAAACACATCTCCTTGTTTGACATTAAAAAGCCGAATTTCTGTATGTCAGATAAATGAGAAATATGAGTATTTGTAAAACAAGCTAAACATTCAAGATTAAAACGCAGATCCAAATGGGGCAATTAATTAAGACGTGCATGAAGGAAATACCTCTAAGACATGCCAAGTAGTGAACGCTCTCTTAATGAAAATAATAATCGTGGTTATGAAATAGCATTCGAAAAACATTCATGTTTTAAATATCTTATTCTCTGAAAACACTGAAACATGTGTCGCGCCATATTTGAAACCCAGAAGAACAGCAATGACAAGGAATATATCTCAATATTTGTCGAGACATTGTTTCGTTTATCAGCATATCATTATCCTTCATAGCTGTTAAAGGGTCCGACGTATGGGTGATAGGCGGCCACACGCGTACGGACTCGTCAATATGATAAACTATTCTATATTTACGTATTTCGGGTCAACTGCTACCGTGTACGGAGACTGAGCCTATCAAGCCCGTACAAGGCGCTGTGTACCCTTATGTAACAAAGGTCGATTGGAGGTTATCTTTTGACATGTTCAGGATGTACTGAACGTCATGACAGTTACGACATGTGTCCTATTTTCAAAATCAAATAAATGCGCATGATCATTATTCACATTAGTGTATCGTGAACCGAGGAGCTTAAAACCGTCAGTGGCAGGCATTGTTTAGATGCGGAGTTCAAACCATGTTGATAAGACTCGATAAGGATCATGGACATATACAAGTACAGAATGACCCAGGGTGATGAGTCAGGCAAGGCCCTGATAACATAGGGCCCTCACCGGTTCTCTAAGAATCTTAACCCGTTTTACAAAATTACCTCGATTTAAAGTTGCAATTTGAGATTAACAAAATATAATGTAATTGGTTTTAAACTAGTATCTGTGGGAGGGGGTTTTGTGGTGATTCACAAAATGTTCTGATTTAGTTGATGCTCAAACATTCGTCCATGTGATTTTACTAAATTATCAGTTTCATAACAAATAGTTACCTCTCGAGTACATATTTATTTTGAACAAATGTGTGTACCGTCACGCTCTGGTGCAATTCATACAATTCATGCATGTAAGAAAATGAGTGAATATGGTTTTATGCCGCTTTAAACAACATTTTACAGCGTGTCAGGCATGTGAAAGGAAAGTCTGAAAACCAGGCATCAGAATCAAGCCAAACCTGGGATTCGAACCTGCATCCATCTTAGTATTCCCGCATGTCTGACGGACGCCACGCTGTTCAATGAATTGTGACGCCTCAGACAATCTGGCCATCTGTACCCCCTATTAAGCTTGTTTACAGATTGATGTAGTCGAAACTAATAGCAATGTTGATATTTGAACTGGCCACAAAATTATATAGAGAATCTCACCCGAGTGTCTTTTGATATCAAATATATCAACACGAGTTGATAAAAGTGGAAAAATTCCGAGGCTTGCCGAGGATTTTTGCCACTTTTATCAACAAGTATTGATATATTTGATATCAAAAGACTCGAGGGTGAGATTTTATTTATCATCCAACATCATTCTTTCAACTTTTTCAATTTGTAGACATTAATTAGCAGTGTCTTCAGTGTAAAAAGTACTGCAAACAGCTTCAGTAGCAGAGCCATTAGTGATGTCATTTGATTGTGACGTCATGGTAACCAGTGACATCACAATGGTCTGTAAAGCATTGTGATGTAATGTCATTGCAGCGATATCTACAGTGTAGATATCGCTTGATCTCATCCAAGCGATATCTCCTGTGGGAGCCAGTTTTGGATGATAAATGACCATGTCTTAATATGAGGGTAACGCTATTTTTCAGGGCATTATCATTTGCAGAAGCCCGAGGTCTTCCATTAACTGCCCGACGAAGGAGGGCAGTTGAAAAGACCGAGGGCTTCTGCAAATGATAATGCCCACAAATATAGCGTTACCGTTATTATAGCTACAATGGATGGAATTTTTTATCAAATAGAAAGAAACAACAATATCGTGTTTGAAACATTTACTGCAATCAACACGAATGTCACTGACCCACTTTTACAACTATGGAAACGTCATAGAACAAATCAGATGACGTCACTATTGAACGTGACGTCACCGATCCTATCCTATGACGTCACCTAACAACGGGCGTGATAATAGCCCGTCGTCAAGTAATATGAGGGCATTATCAAGTTACAGTGGCCCGCTCATTTCTGATAACATGCGGGCGGTTTAATGATAATTCTATCCATTTTAGCTATAATACTATATAGTGAGTGAATGAGTGCGTTTGGTTTTACGCCGCTTTTAGCAATATTACAGCAATACCACGTTGGGGACACCAGAATTAATTGCATATAGATATACTGTACTAAATAACCAGTGATTGAGCACAGAGACGCCCTGTACACTGGACCTGGTTAATACGTACATGTATATACCAAACCTGAATATTGTATCATGGAGAAGCAGTAACATAAGCCGGAATTGACTGGTATGCTTTTACCAAACAAATAAAAATGTGTTGAGACGAAAGGGATGTCGCCATCTATGCTTTTAGCAATATTTTAGACACATTCTGGGACACCAGAAATGGGCTTCACACATTGTACCTATGACGGGAATCGAACCAAGGTCTTAGGCGTGACGAGCGAACGCTTCAACCACTAGGCTACCCCACCCCCTTCACCGTAGAGGCTTGCCGCCATGATGACACTGATGTCTTGATGATGATGTCGCTGTAATGAGAGCCAGTCTTTGATTGAGAGACTGTGCCTTTAAAACATGTATGACGTAGTGTGAGTCATGCATTAATATAAACGACAAACTTTGTTTCAGTTCAGAAGTTTATAACAAGGGTTATGCATTCCCGAGAAATCACATTATCATTTCAGCATGCACAAGGAAGACCACAGGCGTAATAAGAAAGTGACGTTCCACGCCATGGGGTTGAGCGGGGTGGACAGTGACACATTCGAAGCACGGAAGGACATGTATGTCAGCAATAAGCAGCTGTGGAAAATAAGGACCCTAAAGACGATCATGAAAGAGCTTGGACACGAGCATGTACGTACTGATCTGACAACATCCACCTTTAAACAACTTAGAATGTATGAATGCAAAATTCAGGTGAATAATTGACTTGCCTTTGCATGTGTTTGTGACGGATGCAAACGGAGGGGCGGCATACGCTCATCTTTTTGCAAACACTTATTATCATCGCTGTTTGAAAGTGACTCGAAAACACTGGCTCATCATACACTCGGAATCGTACAATCCAGAGTTCTTATGAATATGGAAAGGGTTTTGTCGCTTTTATATCCATTGAACTATACTTAGATGAAACATCGACAATGAAAAGAGTAACGAAGTTGGAACCCTGAAGTCCCCCTGTCTCGCTGCTGCTGCTACTACAGTTTGTAATATGCCACTTAAATATCTGTAAAGGCATGTATAGCTAAGTCCATACTTAAAGGCATGTAGATTATTTAGTTAAACAATTTGTGTTTGTACAGCTCGATGGTACTTCATTGTGTGTAGCAATATGGATAACGAAATTTGTTTACTTTGAGAAACGATCCAGATTTGTAAACAATTGACAACATCTAGATGTAGCATAAACATCGTGTGTACGTGTGCTACATTCCTTTCCGCGTAGTCGGCTGCATACACGCGTCTGGGCCAATTGCCAAATACAAGCAGCGTGAATAAGTAATAGGTCAAGCTACGTTTGTTTGTTTGTTTCGGCCGACAACTAACTATCAAAATTATTTATGATTAGTGAATATTAGATGGACCAAAAGGGTCTAATTAAACCAATAATTGTCCTTTAACCCCCCTCTCTCTGTCCCATAATTTGTCTATAACAAAGCAATAAGGATAATTACTTGATAGTTACTTGATAATTGCTCTAACATTTTGCTGCTTAATGTCATACAGTGTTGAGACAAGTAGTACATCCGCAGGTTATATCGCCTTTATTCAGACAGACAGTTACCAGCTGTATTCATACAGCCGGATACCATCCACATGCACACAGCCACATATCTTTACAGAGTCAATTGCCACATATATTCTCAATATAAAGGCTTAAAAAATCACTTCCCTCATTGTGTGGACGCTTCATAGTTCAGACAGCCACTTTGCAATACAGACAGTCTCTTTGCAATACAGAAAGTCACTTTGCAATACAGACAGTCACTTTGCAAAACAGACATTCACTTTGCAATACAGACAGTCACTTTGCAATACAGACAGTCACATTGCAATACAGACAGTCACTTTGCAATACAGACAGCCACTTTGCAATACAGACAGCCAATTTGCAATACAGACAGCCACTTTGCAATACAGACAGCCACTTTGCAATACAGACAGTCACATTGCAATACAGACAGCCACTTTGCAATACAGACAGCCTACAACCTACATATCTTCGTTCACAGTAACCGACACGTTGTTCACAATCATCCGACCAACTTTGGCATGAGACAGACATTCTTTCTTTGAAACATTCCATGAATTCTAATCTCGCGTGGTGTGCTACTAGAGGCAGAACTGTTTATTTGTTCACTCGATTGTACGAAGAGAATGTTTGGATCTGTACCTTGTCAGTTTGACCATGCCACGCGCATTGTTAGGGTGCCAAGATACATGTACAATTAGTTAGCCATTAGTGGACAGTCTGTTAGTACAGCTGTAAATGACCACTCAGAATCGACATGCTTATGGTAGAATAATATATATTTGTTTGTAAGTACCATATAAAGGTTAAAAGATATGTTATGTTCAGACAGTATGTGAACTGCTCTAGTAGCGATAAATCGAGGATATTTCATGTGTCAGGTGAAATGTCATGTTTCTCTCATCCAGTGACTGGAGGAAAGGAGGTGTCTTTTCCCCGTCGCGAGACACATGGAATATCCTATTTATTATATACGTTTAGTGTAGTTGTTCAAAGGTGCGTTAAACCCAACTTACTCTATTATATCAGAATATTACACACAAATACCATACCGCATTGCACTACATTATACACACCTGTTACTTTAAACACACTATATAACATTGCACATTCATAGATTATGGGACCGCCTCCGTGGTCTTGTGGTAGAGCGTCCGCCCGGAGAGCGGAAGGTCCGGGGTTCGATCCCCGGCCGCGCCATACCAAAAGACGTTAAAAGATGGTACTTGTTGTTACCCTGTCTGGCGCTCGGCATTAAGGGGCTAGAACAAGGACTGGTCGGCTCGGAGTCAGTATACTGTGTCTGAGTGGGGTATTCATGTTAAACTGCGGCATAGTATCTCAGTGAGCTAGCACTATAAATCGGCATAAGTCCGGACTAGTACAAGCAGCCACACAAACACACACACGTACATGCACGTCGCTATATAAGTGCAATAATCTTGGACGCGACGTTAAACCCAATTTCACCTCACCTCATAGATTATGGTATATAAATATATACACATATCACACACATAATATATGAATCATATTATATCGCAAGCGCTATCACACATATATTACATATCATATACTCACGTCTAGGTTCTGCATCAATCGACAATCGCTGATGTATCTTACCAAATGTTAACATGAATAATTTAGAAATGTAAACGAAAATTCAGAAAGCGTATGCTTTTGAATAAATTCTCACATATGTGTACTTCTTTATTACCTACCGTGCGTTTATCTCCATTTCTAACCTCTGTGTGATTTTCCAACTGGAACACAGAGGTTCAGCAAAACATCGGAGAACACAGACCTATATTGTGAACTCAGCAAATGACTACACAAAGTCAATGAATACTCAGCTTTAGGTTCACAATCCAAACGACATTGTACATACACTGGGTCTTATAGGTGGCAGCAGCAACAATAAACGTCAGGGCTTAGAATTAATGGAAGTGCACTCAATGGCGTTCAAAATATTGTCACTGATGGACATCCTAAAAGATACCAGAATCTCTAGTCTCCAGAAAGGTCTTGGAAGCTGGGGGGAATTCGGTGTTTCCAGATAGGTATCCAAACCCCACTTGGCAAGTAGATATAAGAAACAAGCCCCGAATCGCCCTCTTGTCCTCGTATATAGGTACAGACAGCCTTTTTGAAAGTGACCCATCCCTATTTTCGAAACGTGAAACATGCTATGTTCGATTCATGTATAGGGCGGATAACTCTAATTATTGTCCAAACCATTTAGGAACGTTCCACTGGCTGCCGTTGCCTGCAGTTCAAATCTGACCACGACAGCACTTTATTTTTAAGCAGTTAACTATTTTGGTGCCATTGATTTACTACAAATATACTTGCGACTGATATTGCTTGCACGTAACATTGCGTATTTACTGATGTAAGAACCGCCGTCATATAGCTTGGATATTGCTGAGTGCGGCGTTAAACAACACACAAACACTAATGTAAGTGCCTAAAATGTTTCTCCTGTCTATCATTTCAGAGAGTGCTGGATGTTTTAAAAATTGATGTCGAAGGACATGAGTGGGCAGTCGTGAAAAACATCATGGACGATGGACTTTTCAAGAACATTAGACAGTTCTACTTAGAGTGGCATCTCTTCCCTGACTGGCCTTCCAAAAGTGCATACGTTAGTTTATACGAGCTGTATGCAAAGCTAACTCGGCTTGGACTGACAGCCTTCAGGAAAAGTCCACATCCACATAACTTTAATCCAGGTCGTTTCAATATACAAGGAGACAATAATTATATAAATCTCAATTTCACCAGAACTGCATAACAGGACATTGTAAAGTGCATTTGTGGGAGGATCTGGCAATACGGAATACTTTCTATGTGTATTTAATGCTAACTTTGGACAATCTGCTGACAATCGGACCATCCTCGTGTACAAGGCTGGAGTATTTCAACTCAAGATGAGATCGCCATTTCGATTCTTGTGGACATCTAGGGTACTTGTTAACCTAACATGTTTGTACATCAAGGGACGACAAGAGGACTTTGAAATTATTTAAGATTACTTAAGTTTATTTCTTTTGGCGAATGAATCTCTTTCGTGAAAGTTTATTGGGTTTCCGGGGGTTATTCACTCGTAGATGTTCAACTAACGGTACCTGGTGTTACCATCTCTATATGTTTCTATGAGGTTCAGAGCGAACAGCGACATACATACAGTTCCCATGTACCTACAAGGCCCACGCCCAGAGAGAGTTCCTTGGATGTGTGCAAGAAGTGTTGTGATGTCTTTTCTTTTAAAAATACCTGTGATAACCATTTCACAACTAGTCAGGTAGACTGATGAAGTATAACTAAACATAGGCAACACGTGAATGGCATGTTGATGTAAGATAGGTACTGGCATACCACAGCTACCTAATGTTTTCACGTTTCCTCTCATTCAGACTTCTTCTGATTTACATTAGAACCAAGTCTATACTTGTACATACCAAGATCCCTCTAATGCGGACACCTGTTGATATCGGTTCTTTTGAGCCCTGTAATCAGTTATTGGGTTTATCAACAAATGTTAGACTTCTTTCGTTACTTTATAACATTCCATACAAGGCAACTATCACCATTTCTAAATTTATCTCAACTGATTTCAAATCAATTTGATTTCAAACATGTCTAATAAATTCCAAGTTACCCTAGACACAATTTTGCTGTTTGTCCCCGAGGTGTCTACATACCAACATGAATGTGAGTTACACTCATTCAAAACACGTCCTTTTCTGTAAAGTTAAGAGTTGCATTATTATAAAGTGATGTAAAGTTCCTAAGAACATCTCCCATCCAACCACCCTTTGACATTGCGTAAAGTCTATGGTTATTGCCAATCTAACCACCCTTGGCATGGTGTAAAGTCGAAAGCCATTGCCCATATAACCACCCTTGGCATGGTGTAAAGTCGATGGTCATTGTCCATCCAGCCACCCTTTGGCATGGTGTAAAGTCGGTGATCAGTGCCCAATTACCACTCTTGGCATTTTGTGAAGTCGATGGTTATTGTCCATCCAACCACCCTTGGCATGGTGTAAGTCGATAATCACTGCCCTTCCTACCCCCACCACACACACACACACACACACACGCACGCACAAATACACATTCACCCATCCACCCCTTGCCATGGTGTAAGTCGATAATCACTGCCCTTCCTACCCCCACCACACACACACACACACACACACACACACGCACGCACGCACGCACGCACGCACGCACGCACGCACACACACACACACACACACACACACACACATTCACCCACCCACCCACCCCTTGTCATGGTGTAAAGTCGGTGATCATAGCCAATCTAACCGCCCCTTGCCATGGTGTAAAGTCGATGATCATTGCCAATCTAACCGCCCCTTGCCATGGTGTAAGTCGGTGATCATTGCCAATCTAACCGCCCCTTGCCCCGGTGTAAGTCGGTGATCATTGCCAATCTAACCGCCCCTTGTCATCTTGTAAAGTCGATGATCATTGCCAATCTAACCGCCCCTTGCCATGGTGTAAAGTCGATGATCATTGCCAATCTAACCGCCCCTTGTCATCTTGTAAAGTCGATGATCATTGCCAATCTAACCGCCCGTTGCCATGGTGTAAAGTCGGTGATCATAGCCAATCTAACCGCCCCTTGTCATCTTGTAAAGTCGATGATCATTGCCAATCTAACCGCCCCTTGCCCCGGTGTAAGTCGGTGATCATTGCCAATCTAACCGCCCCTTGCCATGGTGTAAGTCGGTGATCATTGCCAATCTAACCGCCCCTTGTCATCTTGTAAAGTCGATGATCATTGCCAATCTAACCGCCCCTTGCCATGGTGTAAAGTCGGTGATCATTGCCAATCTAACCGCCCCTTGTCATCTTGTAAAGTCGATGATCATTGCCAATCTAACCGCCCCTTGCCATGGTGTAAAGTCGGTGATCATTGCCAATCTAACCGCCCCTTGTCATCTTGTAAAGTCGATGATCATTGCCAATCTAACCGCCCCTTGCCTTGGCGTAAAGTCGATGATCATAGACAATCTAACCGCCCCTTGTCATCTTGTAAAGTCGATGATCATTGCCAATCTAACCGCCCCTTGCCATGGTGTAAAGTCGGTGATCATTGCCAATCTAACCGCCCCTTGCCATGGTGTAAAGTCGATGGTTATTGCCAATCTAACCGCCCCTTGCCATGGTGTAAAGTCGATGGTTATTGCCAATCTAACCGCCCCTTGCCATGGTGTAAAGTCGATGATCATTGCCAATCTAACCGCCCCTTGCCATGGTGTAAAGTCGATGATCATTGCCAATCTAACCGCCCCTTGCCATGGTGTAAAGTCGATGGTTATTGCCAATCTAACCGCCCGTTGCCATGGTGTAAGTCGGTGATCATTGCCAATCTAACCGCCCCTTGCCATGGTGTAAAGTCGATGGTTATTGCCAATTTAACCGCCCGTTGCCATGGTGTAAAGTCGGTGATCATTGCCAATCTAACCGCCCGTTGACATGGTGTAAAGTCGATGATCATTGCCAATCTAACCGCCCCTTGCCATGGTGTAAAGTCGATTATCATTGCCCATCCAAATTTGACATTGTTTATAGGAGTGGAATCATGACTATGCAACCGTTTGCTAAAGTGAATACGCGTGTAGTTTGTATTGTCTTTCTGTACCGTCTTGGTCACTTTTCATGGATTGTTCTCTCGTTCATCCCATGCCAGCCTCACGTTGTTACAAGGACCAGTCAAAACCAAACACAGTCATCAGAAGCCTTGTGTATACTACGATCTTGTATAATGACCATGTTTATGTATATATTTGCTCAATGCATTTCAATATGACAAATTAGTGAGAACAGACACACTGGAAAATAATATGTCTTTAATATATGTTGTGATACTACACACGTGCTTCCAGAATGTTAAGTAGTTGGCTAGATCTTCGGTAAACAGATATAACATATATCATATGGGTCCAACTTGAATGGAGGTACGATTTATTACTTGAGTTCCCTTCCGTGTTATTGAAATCATTTTGGGGGCAATATGCCTTGTGTTGAATGAGGGGTATTGTGAACTCTTTTAACATACGGTCTGCTTCAGAGTTGATGGATATATTTTTTTATGAAAACAATTTTACGTAATTTAAATGTACAATGTTGAAGTGTGAGGGAAGCGTTAACGCATGTCAGTACCTTGAATGTTGGTGTACATGCCTCATGTAAATAAACGGTTGTTGACTTCAAACATGTATCGTGCTACTTTGTTAATGGTGGTGTTGCGACTATCGTCCACGACGTCCGTAGCGAGACCAGGAACCCGTTCCACATAGCGATCTTAATGCTAAGTTGGTCGTAACTCCCATACTTTATCATAGGCTTACGATCAGCGTAGCACTGAGATCTCTTAGTGGAACGGGGCCCTGACACACAAAGTGATGACGTAAGATCTTTCTTCCTCAAGTGTCAGTTTTTCCCTGTCAGATAACATAGAGCTGTAAGAATTCTATCTTAATCACATACACACACACACACACACACACACTCTCTCTCTCTCTCTCTCTCTCTCTCTCTCACACACACACACAAACACACTCTCTCACACATACACATACTCACACATACATATACACACATATACACACACATACACACACACACATGCATACACACAGATACACGTACACACGTACGTACACACATACTCACACACACACACACATACTCACACATACATATACACACACATACACACACTCACACATGCATACACACACATACACGTACACACGTACATACACACATACTCACACACACACATATACACATACACATACTCACTCTCATACACACATACACAAACATACACACACATACACACACACACATACATACACATACACACACACAAAACCCAATACACTTACATACTCTGGATGGCACCGTACCATGGGCATGTACCAGGCAAAAGTACACAGACATACCCACATACTTACATACACACACATACTTATATACATACACATATACTCACATACACATACACATATACTCACATACACATACACATATACTCACGTACATACACACATAAACATGTACACACACATACACATACACACATACTCACATACACATGCACAAATACACATATACACACATACTCACATACATACACATGCACATACACTTATACACATACACACATACACATACACAAATACATACACATACACACACATACATACGTATACTCACACACACATACACAAACACACATACACACACATACATAAACACATACATACTCACACACACATACACACACATACATACACATACTCACACACACATATACTCACATACACATACTCACACACATACACATACTCACACGCATATACATACACATACTCTCACACACATACATACACATACTCACACACACATACAGACACATACACACACATACTCACACAAGCATACGCACACGTATTTACACATACTCACACACACATACAGGCACATACACACATACATACACATACTCACACAAGCATACGCACACGTATTTACACATACTTACACATACACACACATGCATACAGATACTCACACACACATACTCACACATACACAAGCATACACACACATATTTACACATACTCACACAAGGATACGCACACATATTTACACATACTCACACACATACACATACTCGCACATACACACACGTAGATACACGTACACACATACACATACCCACACACACCTTGCTGGGGCGAGCTAATGCACACTCGAGCGTGAAGCCGATCGCCAAGTGTTTATATCCCCACGCATAACCGAGATTTACTTTACTTAGCTTAGAAACCGTGGCAAAACTGACATATACGAGGGGTGTTCATTAAAGATTTCCCCTAAACCACTTAGGGTTATCATATTTTGTTGAAATTTCACATGTGTAATGATACATGTATCTATGGGTTATGTCTGAATTTGCAGCACCGAACTATTAATCTTACCACTTTTACAGGTGTTATGATCGAGTAGGGTGTGACAATGGAGCCAGTAGAATACCGAGCAGTGATTAGGTTTTTATATTTGAAAGGTCGCACACAAAAAGAAACTTTCGATGAAATGAAAGCAACTTATGGGGAAGATGCCCCATCATATGACGTTGTTAAACACTGGCATCGCCAGTTCAAGTGTGGTCGGACATCTGTGGAAACAGCTGCCATTCCTGGTCGCCCCCATTCAGCCATTGATGAGGACACTATCCAAGTGGAGACCGCAATTTTGGCAGACCGACGTATAACTGTTCGCCAGTTAGCACAAGATGTCAAGATCAGTGTAGGGTCTGTGGAAAAAATCATCCATGACAATTTGAACATGCATAAGATGTCTGCACGATGGATTCCCAGGTTGCTCACACCTTTCCAAAAGCAGGAACGAGTCAATTGCTCAAAGGATCTTTTGGACATGTGCCAAAAAAAACAGGCAATCTCTTTTGACAGACTTATCACACAGGATGAAACATGGGTCCATCACTATGATCCTGAGACTAAAGTTCAGTCGATGCAATGGAAGCATGTGGAGTCACCACCCCCAAAGAAGGCACGTGTCCAACCCTCTGCAGGCAAGGTAATGCTCACGGTGTTTTGGGACCAGCACGGAGTAGTGATGATGGATTTCTTGGCAAAGGGTACCACAATTACAGGAGCTTATTATGCTTCACTGCTGCGGAAATTGCGGGACGCTATCAAGCTTAAGAGGCGTGGCATGCTGACCAAGGGTGTCCGTCTCCTGCAAGACAATGATCCAGTACACAACTCTCATGTTGCCCAGGCAGAAGCGCGGTCCTGTGGCTATGAAATCCTTCCACATCCTCCTTACTCTCCTGACCTTGCACCATCTGACTTCCACCTCTTTCCAACCATGGAGTCATTTTTGAAGGGAAAACGTTTCACAGATGGTGAAACACTGATTTTTGAAGTCAAGTCCTGGTTTGAGACGCAAAATAAGGGCTTTTACAAGCGAGGTCTCCATAGTTGCATAAAACAATGGGAGAAGTGTGTAACTCTTGGTGGTTCCTATGTGGAGAAAGACTAATACCTATGCCAAGTTTCATTCCACTAGGTCCATCGGAAGTGGGTCAGGGGAAATCTTTAATGAACAGCCCTCGTACGTCACACTAAATTGAGGCGATCTGACAAATATCGAGGAAAAACAAACATTGGCTGGTTTGTCCCCGCTATACAGAGGTGGACTCGACCGGCGTCGATTAATACATTTTGCACATGCGACACATGTTTCTCATCATGAAAACAATGAGCGCGCAGCAATTTCTCTCATAAATATTGACGACAATAAAGCATATTAGCATTTTAATGACAGCATTCAGATGCGAATGCAAATATCAATTTATGATGAATTTGCAAGAGTGGCCAAACATACCGAGCTGGTACAAGATAATATAATACACCTAGAGGAGACAAATTAATATATTGTATGTACGTTCCTTCCTCTAAACAGCCGAAACAAATACAAACACACACATACATACACACATTCAGCTTAACAGACAGTCCCTTTGTGTCCGGTACACATAGGTTGCGTGGATACCAAACAATAAACAATAGTTACCCCAGTTTGGTAAAGGAAAATAGCATCCTTGCTATACACCCCGATTTATCTAGCTTACCGAGTTTTATCGCTCTCTGTTAGTTGCCTGGATATGACAAAGGACAGGTTCGCCCTTCGCCATGATATAGAGGTAACTGTCGACTGGGAGAGATATCCCAGCCACACGTACTCATACAGTTCACGGTGAGATCAATGGGTTGGTCAGAGCACGTTACACGTATCAAGCAGAACAGTTTTAATGTGAAAAAACAAACATTGCCGTCATTTGTGTTAATTTCGGCTATGACTGTTTATTAACATCATAGGAATCCTTGACGACCACTAGCTGTATTCTCATGTCTCTTATGAACGTGGAACGTTATGCTCCAAGTTGCTATAGTTGGCCGAAGGGTTCATGTCAATGTCGGGCGGTCGGGTAGCCTAGTTGTTAAAGCGTTCGCTCGTCACGCCGAAGACCCGGGTTCGATACCCGACATGGGAACAATGTGTGAAGCCCATTTCTGGTGTCCCCCGCCGTGATATTGCTGGAATATTGCTAAAAGCGGCGTAAAACCATACTCACTCACTCACTCATGTCAATGTCAACCGCGACTGGACAATCTCCCTCCTTGATAGATTGTACGAAAATACAGAACAGATGTCAATTCTTGAAGCGTAAACATCTTGTATGTAAACTTGGTTGTTCTCACTGTTCACTCACCTGTCGTTTTTCTTTTCTAATCTCATTTAAGCTCTGCGAAGCATCATCAACCTACGTGTGATCACCTCCTCTTATGTATTGTGAAAAAAAAAACATGTCGCCATAACGCGTGAAAAGAACACATGGGCCCCTCAGATTTGAATTCAAATATTAAATGTTGATTTTGTTGAAATCTAGGTTTCAAATGTAGCCCAAATGAGTCCATCCCGAGTCCACTTAAGTAACATGTGTACGGGTTAACTCTCGTAGAAAAGTAGAAAATGTACTTCTGAAACAATATAAAATTATGAAAACACACATTATGACATTGTTCCTTTGAGGATTAACTTAAGGATTGACTGTATTTTTTCGGTTCATTGGGGTATGAATCGAAAAAGCGACGTGCAAACTGTATGAATCCGCGTAGCGCATTCTTACAAAAGTTTGCACATCGGTTTTGTACTTTTGTCAGACATTTGTAAAGACCTCTCTGCACAAAGCATAAGGTATGCCCTGAGTGATAATGAATGTATGAACAAAAATCAGCAGGTATATACTAGCACATATTATATATGTGTGCAATTTGGAATTGGCTGTGTATGGCTGTGTATGGCTGTGTATGGCTGTGTGGCTGTGTATGGCTGTGTATGGCTGTGTATGGCTGTGTATGGCTGTGTATTGCTGTGTATGGCTGTGTATGGCTTGTATGGCTGTGTATTGCTGTGTATGGCTGTGTGTGGCTGTGTGTGGCTGTGTGTGGCTGTGTATGGCTGTGTGTGGCTGTGTGTGGCTGTGTGTGGCTGTGTATGGCTGTGTATGGCTGTGTGTGGCTGTGTGTGGCTGTGTATGGCTGTGTGTGGCTGTGTGTGGCTGTGTGTGGCTGTGTGACTCTGTATAGCTTGTATGGCTGTGTATGGCTGTGTGTG